TTAGCTTTTATTTTAGTATTATATTTTAATTAGATTATAGAAGCTTCTTTTCTATAATCTTATATAATTTCTTTTAATTAGTTTAAAAGAAGAAAAACTATTTTAAAATAGAAAGTTTCTAGAAATAACTTATAATAAAATCTTATTAATTAGTATTCTTTTAATATTTTTTATTAAATTACTTTTCTAGCTATTATTATAAAATACTAATAATATAATCGAATTATATAGATTTAAGCTTATTTTTTAGTTATATAAGCTTATATTTTCTATAATTAACTAGAATATTAATATATATTATTTATTTTCTATTTAAAATAATATTATAATTTCTAAAATTTAGAATAATTATAGATATATTAATATTTCATTTATTAATTAGAAATAAAACTTCTATATATTTCTTAATAAACTCAACTAGCTTTCTATTAAAACTATATATAATATAAAATAAGAAAAAGAGTTATAGTTCTATTTCTAAAAATTATTCTATAAACTAAATAAGCTTTATATTAATAAAAATATAACTATTAGCTCTAGTATTAATAAGGGAAAAAAAACTTAATTTCTAATCTATTTATACTAATAATATAAGATATTATAAAAGTATTTCCTTTTATTAGATAAGTTAAATTAATCTTTATTAAATTTATATTATAAGTTCCTAAAATAAAGACTTTCTTTAGAAATATTTATTTCTTGATTCTATATTAGAATTAGAACTCGAATTCTTTAAATACTTTATTAGAATAATATATTCTAATAAAATATAAACTAAATCCGATTTAATTCTAAAAAGAGTTATTTTAGTTTTCTTATTATATAGAAATAGATAATATCTAATATAATAGCCGAATTTATTATAATTAAAGTATTTAATAATTAAGAGATTTTTAGTATTTATAAAATATTACTTATATTTATAAGAAAATATATATTTAGTAAAAGTAGTTAATATAAGCTCTTTAAATTTCTTTTTAGAAATATATAAAAATATAATACTAGAAATAAACTTAATTAAAATAGCTTTTATTTTTTTATATTCTTTAATTTTCTTATATATAGCTTTAATCTATAAATTATTAATAATATAATACTAAATAAAATAAATAGTATTAATAAAAGAATTATTATAGTATATATATATTAATTTCTAAAGCTTTAGTAAAAATTTCTTATTTAGTTTATATTTAATATCTTAAAGACTAATATTATCTTCTATAAATAATTATAAGAAAAAAGTATAGAATTTCTAAAATATTTAATTAGAATATATTTAAAGCTTACTAAAGTTATAATAAGTATTCTATATCTTATTAGAATTAGAAAATAGCTTCTTTAAATAGAAATAGAATTCTAAAAGCTAATAGTATTAATTTAGACTATTTTTATTTATATAAGAATTAGTTAAAATACAAATATTACTAGTAAATTTATTAGAAATATAAATAATCTTAAAACTTTTTAAGAAATATAAATTAATATTTCTTTATAGCTTATTCTTAATCTAAACTAGCTAGTTATTAAAAATAGTACAATTTCTAATAAAGAGAATTATATCTAAAAGCTTAGTAATTCTAATATCTTTAAAAGAAATATAAGATATAGAAAATTCTAGATAGAAATAAATAGAAAATAATTCGGAATTCTTTTAAGAAAGGTTTAAAATAATTAGAGCAAGTAAAATAGAAATAGTTAGAGCTATTATAAGCTAATCTATTATAGTTATATAGTATTTAACTTTATTCTCGAATTTAGTATTATAGAGTTTAATATTCTCGAAAATAGCTTTATTATAATTATAGATATTCTTATATAAAATAGCTCTTTAAATATTTTTCTAATAGTTTTTTATAATAATATTAATATCTAAAAATAAAATATTAGATTTCTTAGCCTATTTATATAACTTTCTAAAAGCTTTATAATAAAAATAAAGAATTCTATTTCTATAAACTTATTTATAAATTCTCTAGAAATACTAATAGAATATTTAGTTTAGAAAAAGCTATTAATAGAATAACCTGAACTAGTAAAAGCTTTATTAGAAACTTTAATAGAAATTAATATAGTTTCTAGTTATATAATATTCTAAGAAATTAATCTATTATATTTTTTCTTTATTATATTCTTTTTAGTAGTTTTATTACTAGTATATATATAAAGCTTATAAAGTTATAGAATAGAATTTAAAAGTAATAGTTAGATTACTAGTCTATATATATCTATTACTCTAGAATTTAGTTAAAGAGTAGCTTTTATTTAAAGTTCTTTAATTTTCGGGTTTTTAAAAAGATTTCTAATATATTACTAATATATATTTATAAAGATATAAATATTTAATTTCTTTAAAGATTCTAAAGCTTTTTACTTTTATTATTCTAAAGTCTATTACTTATATTTCTAAAGTTCTATTATTTTAATAATATATATATTACTAATAGTTCTAAATTAGTTTATTTAAAATCTTCTATAAAATTAAAAGAAATAAGCTTTAAATACTATTATAGATATAGTATTTAGGGCTTAGAAAACAAAATAAAAGAATCTTTATAAAAATAATTCAAAGCTAAAAAAAAAGAAAACTAGAATATAAGAGGCTATAAAAGAATATATATATTTTATAATATATTAGTTCTAAAAGAACTTAGTTTTCTAAATATCTCTTATATATTTCAAATATATTTCTCTAGTAAAACAGCTATATTATATATATCTAGAAAGTATCTAATATCTAGTAAAATATCTTAAATCGTAGAAATTTAGAAATTATAATAATTTCTAGTTTATATATAAATATCTTATTAAAACTTTATATAAAATATTAGAATATATTTATTAGAAATTTTTTTTTTTATATATTTTTTCTAAACTAAATTGTTTTATTTATTTTATATATTTTATAATTTTATTTTTTATAATAAAACATTTAATTTTAGCTAGAATATTAAAAAAATTATTAATTTTAATTATAGTTTAAGAAATAGAAATACTAATATTTTAAGCTAATTTATAAATATTATACTAGAATTTAAAAAGCTAGATCTTTTAACTAGTTATATAAAAATATTCTAGAAAATAATACTTATATTATTATCTAAAAAACTAGCTATTTATAAAAAATAAAATACTAATATTACTATTATTTATTCTATTAATATAAGCTATAAATTCTATTTATATATAAAAAATAAATTTATTTAATTCTATATTATTATAATTATTTTAAAAGTATTAAAAGTATTAATAAAAATAATTTAAAAATTATATTTATAATTTATTTTATATAGAATTCTAATAAGCTTAATTATATTATTTTATAATTTAATAATTTAGAAACTAGATTTATTATTTATTTTTTCTATATTATTTAAATATAATATTACTATTAGTCTATTACTAATATTAAATATTATTAATTCTATTTTAGGAAAAATAGCTTTAATTAAATAACTTTATTTTATTTTAAATAGTCTAAAATAAGTTCTTTTATATTTTAAAATTAGGTATTATAATATAAATATATAATAAATATAAAACTAGTATTTTTAAAGTTTAGTTTTTCTATTAGATATTAAAAGTTTTTTATTTAGTTTAATAAAAAAGAAAAATAATTTAATAATTTATATATAGAAAATTATCTATTTTTTGAATTTGGGTTTTCTATTAATATATATAAAGTCTTTTTATTATAATATCTAGTTTTTTATTTCTTAAAATCTGACTGTTTAATAGTTATAAATAATAATAAACTAATATTTATTTAGTATTTAATTAAATATCTTTATTTAATTTAATTAGTTTTATAGATTTAAATACTAGCTATCTAGTTTAATATACTAAAAAATATATTAAATATAATAATAAAACTAGTATTAGTTATTATATATATATGTATTAGAAGAGATTTAGTTATATAAAAAAGAAATATAAAAATATATACTAGAAATAATAAAAATAAAATAGCTATAATAAAACTAGATTATAATAGTTCTATTAGTATAATATATATATTATAATAAATAATAGTTATATAAAAATAAAAACTTAATTTTATATAATATAAAATTATTAAAAGAAAAATAAAAACTATAAAACTAATAGCTTTTATAATAGTAAATATAATAGAATATAAAAAAATATATATTAAAATAATTAATAAATTAAGAAATAAGAATTATAATAATATCTAAAATAATAAATAATTAATAGTATATATTAAAAAAATATTATTAATTTATATATTATAATATAAAAAGAAATATTTATAAATTATTAAAACTAAAGCTAGTTATAATATTTAATATAAATAATAAAAGAAATTAAAATAAATCTTTAATTAATTATTAATTAGTAATTTTAATAGAAAGAAAACTAAATATTTATTATATAATATATATAAATAATTAATTAAGATTTTATTAGCTTTAGTCTAAATAATACTTCTTTCTAGATTATAAAAACTTTTCTTATAAAGATAATTAATTATAAAAGCTTTTTTAAACTTAGATAACTATTTTATAAGCTTTAAATAATAAATTAAATTAAATTAAATTAAAATGGAAAATAAATGTTTTAGAAAACTTTTAATAATAAAAAGCTATTTTCAAGTTATTAAATCTAATATTTTATTTATATAGCTAATTATATAGACTAATATATTATTAAATATATTAATAAATATAATTAATATAAAAATAAATAAAATATAAATAGATTTTTTATTAGTTTAATATTAGAAAATTAAATAATAAACTAGTTTAAAAAAAAGATCTATTAGAAGCTATTAGTTTATAAAAGTCTATAGAAATAATATTATAATACTAGACTATTAATAATAGCCCAAGTACAGAATACTAAAACCCAAAACTTTTTATACTATACTTTATATAATTATATAATTATAACCAACCGTATTAAATCAAGTCTGAAACGGCCAAATTAACCAGAATTACTCCCCGAATCAAATAGATTAGACAGATTCCTAATACGCCTGCCTAATACTTAGTATACCAGCCATCTGCCTCAATTACCGCCTTAATTCTCCGTTCTATACTCTCTATTAAACTCTCGAAAAAGCTAGTAGGTATTATGAGCCATACGGCCTTTAATGCCTCTTCTATCCTCTATAGCTCTTCTTCTGACTCTCCCTTTGTATTCCAGACCTCAGGAAAGTGTTCCATAACTATTTCTTTGAGCTTCTTTTATATATATTCGATTGGATTAAGATCTGGTAAGTAGGGGGGCTAATCGGAGGTATCTATCCCATTATCCTCAAACCATTTCTTAACTTTATTTGCTATATATATCGGGGTATTATCTTGTATGAAGTAGAGATCGTCTATATAGTATCCAGGGAATATTATATCGAGTACTTTAATATAGGAGTTTATAGAGTAACTACACTTCTTTGCCTCAAAGTTACGGTCCATTATATAGAGCTCAGAGCGCTTCCCGTCTCCCTAAAACATAGCCCAGACTATTATACGAAGGTCCTTTCCTTTCCGATATATATTAATATATAAGGGCTTCTACTTATTAGAAGAAGTACCCTATATCCAGGCCCTCTTCTTGCCTTTACTCCGCTCTGCCGAATACTCATTATTCTATATATATCTCCTTTACTCTAGGGTCTTCCAATATCTTTATATAAGGTACCAGGCAAGCCTGAGAGTAGCTACTTCAGGTATAAGAGCAGGCCGTATCTTTATATACTAGTAAAGGATCCTATTCTCGCATATAAGGTTCTTAATATAGGTATTAGATATATTAATACCGGTTATCGTTTACTGCTAATCGAATGTGAGTTTAGGCTGGAATCGGAGAGTATGAAGTATAATTCTCCTGTTTCGAGGGTAGTAAATAATTGGACGGCCGGGATGAGGAAGAGAAGCTCTATTAGTATTGAGAATCTCAAGAGTAATGGACCCTCGAATGCCCTGACGAGATATATTAGTGAGATCCATAATTTTGCGTTATATAAGGCCAGTAATATGTATACTAGTAATCTTGCCTCTTGTATAAGGGCTATATTCCGGCCTATATGGCCGGTTAGCCATTAATTCGGCTAAAGGAGTGTATTGTAGTGGTATAGTAGTATAGTAAAGAGAAGGGAGAGAAATGCGAAGCGCGAAAAATCGCGGTTTTGGGGAAGCTTGAGCTATTATTAATTATTGCCTACTATAGACTTTCTTTTAGTAGCTTTAAAAACTTTAAATAGAAATTAAATACTATTTAAAGATCTAAAGCTTTTAATATTATTAAATCTAATAATTAGTATATTTTAGAAAGAAATTAGAAATAAAATCTATTTTAAAAAATTAAGCTCTTTTAATAAATAATTAAAAGTTTTTATATTCTAAATATTTAAATAATCTAAATAATATAAAGAATAATTATTAATATATAATAATATAATTTAAAAGTTTTATTTTTATTAGAAAGCTTTTATTTCTATTTAATTTTTTATAGGTTTTTTATTAAATAAGCTATTAATTTTCTATTTAATATATATAATTAAGCTATTATATTTATAATACTAAATATTTTTTTTTTTTTTTTTTTCTATTTAGTATATTATAATATAATAGACTATATATTTTTTAAAAATTATATTATTTTAATAGTTTTAAAAAATAATTTCTTTTTAGTATTTAATTAATTAAGCTTTTATATTTTATTTTTATATTTTATTATTTATATTTTATTATTTATATTTTATTATTTATATTTTATTATTTATATTTTATTATTTATATTTTATTATTTATATTTTATTATTTATATTTTTAATTTATTATTATTAGTATAGCTATTTCTTTAGAAGTTATATATATAATTATAAGATATAGAATATAGAATATAAGTAATAGAATATAGGTAATAGAATATAGAATATAGGTAATAAAATATAAGATATAAGATATAGTTATATAATCTTATATTCTATTAATAACTTAACTAGTAATTAGTTTCTATTAAGTTTAGTAAATTTAGAAATTATATATTAATATTATAATACTATAATTCTTACTTCTAAATAATAACTTTACTAACTTTATATAAATAGTATTCTATAATTATATAATAGTATTCTATAATTATATAATAGTATTCTATAATTATATAATAGTATTCTATAATTATATAATAGTATTCTAGTATTCTATAATTATATAATAGTATTCTATAATTATATAATAGTATTCTATAATTATATAATAGTATTCTATAATTATATAATAGTATTATATATTTCTAATAAACTAATACTAATTAGTTAGTACTTATAGATTAGAGAAGAATTAAGCTATATTTATTTAAGATTCAATTACTTAAAAGTAAAGCTATTATTCTAGTTAAAAAGAAGATAACTATTAATTCTATTACTTATAATTTGGTTATATAAATAGAAAAGATATTTAATCTTACTAAAGTCTAATTATACTATATTAAAAAAAGAAATATCTATTAGTTCTATTATTTATAATTCGGTTATATAAATAGAAAAAGTATTTAATCTTACTAAATACTAAAACGATTAGCTATTTAATTATCTTATTTTATTTCTATTTAATTTCTATAAAACTCTTTTAAAAACTATCTTCTTTTAAATCCTTAAAGCTTTTAAGCTTTAGAACTATTAAGTTCTTCCGGAATCTCGATATTTTATTTCCTAAATTTCATTTCCTAAATTTCTTATTATAGACGAAATTTTTACTTTAAATATAATACCTTTTATAAACTACTCTTTTCTTTATAAATCTACTCTCCTTATAAACTACTATAACTCGAACTAGATACAAGCCTATAGAATATATAATAGTAGAATATATTATAATAAATAATTCTTTTATTAGATTTATCTAATTCAATTATTCTATATATAATAATAATTATAAGAAATTAGTAAAAAAGTAAAAATATAAAATTAATTTGAATTCTATTAAAGTAAATAAGATAACTGAGTTTTTAGATACTAAGCTATTTTAATATATTATTTATAAAATAGTTAATAATAACTTTTAGAAGCTATTTAGATATAACTTCAAGAATTTTATTTATTAAAGGAACTTTAATAAATTTAAACTTCTAGAGATATTATATTTATATAAAATTCTTTAGTATAATAATATATTTATATAATAAAATAGTAATATTAATACTATTATAAATACTTTATATATTATTATAAAAGAAAATATATAATATATATAGTTAAATAAGAATATATTAATAGCTAGACTAGATTTTATTAAGAGACTAATTCTATTAAGCTTTATTACTTTTATAAAAAATAAATATCTAGAACTTATTATTTTTAATATTTCTATACTATTATCTTTTTTACTATTCTTTCTACTATTATATTCTATATCTCTACTAGATTTATATACTAGTATAGAAGCTCTAGAAATAAATAGTATATTTCTACTAGTTTTATTACTACTATTATAACTATATTTAAATAACCTCTAATTCTTTTTAATTATAAAACTTATTAGAGAAGTTACTAAAATCTATACTAAAAAGTAAAAGTATAATAGATTTAATAGTAATTTTAATTATAAACTTATTATTTTCCCTAATATTTACTAATATATAGAGCTTCTATAAAAGGTACTAATACAAGCTTTTTTTATTATACTAAAAAAACTAGCTCAAAACTATTTCTATAGTAACTAGCTCTTTTAATATATATATAAAGAGGCTTATATTAATATCTATAGTTTCTTTAAAGACTTTAGATTCAAAAATTAAAATTTAGATATATAGAATACTACTATATTAGCTTCTATAATAGTTAAATTCCCGGAAAAAACAACTTTTAAAACGATTTAACTACTAATTAATAAACTATATTAACTATAATATAATTTTATATCTAACTTATAAAATACTAAATTCTTTTATAATAAAATTATTATCTTTTATTAAAGCTTTCAGATATATAAATATATAATCTCAGATCTTTCTATAAATCTCGGCTAGCTTATTAATAAGCTCTAGTTATCTATTACTATATATAAAAGCAAATAATAAACTAATTCCTAAATTTTCTTTACTAATTAATAATACTATTTTTAGAATCTTTTAAGCTATTATTCTTCCGGAAGTTATTAATATAAACTCAATTATAACTTCGGAATCTATAATAACTATTTTAAATCTTATAATTATAATAATTATATTCTGAAATCGTATTTTATATATAAGAAGCCTAAATACTACTTATAAAAATATATATTAGAGAAATAAAAGGCTAAAAAGACTCGATTTAAAAATAGAAATATCTATTAATTTAGATCCCGAAATACTTATAATTTTAATAAATACTTTAGTAGTACTTATATATAGTATATTACTAAAGCTAAAAGTAAAAAAGATAATAAAAATAGTAAAAATAAACTAGTAAATAATACTTTTAAGACTTTATTAGTAGAAATAGATAAAAAAGAGAAATACTATTCAGATTTCTATTTTATTTTAGTTAAGAGCTTTTTAGTTACTTCTATTACTTCTATTCTACTAATAACTATAGCTAATACTTTTATAAATAACTTTATTTTTCTTTTTCTTATATATTAGATAATAGGTAAAAACTATATATTAAAGCCTATTAAACCTTTAATAGAAAATATCTAGACTTTTATAATTAATAGTATATTAAGATATAATATTTATTACTTTTATAAAATTATAATTAATACTAGAGCCTTTAGATATTTAATTACTAGTTCTAACTAATTTCAAGCTCTCTAGTAAACTAATAATAATATTAAACTTAATAAAACTACTAAAAGTTAAATTAATATCTAGTTTAGTATTAGATTTATATCTTTTATTAGATCTATAATAGTAAATATACTAATTAGGTAAATATAATTCTATATTATACTTTTAAAAACTCTATTTTTATTTAGTTTAGCTAATATAAATAAGCTAGAGATCTATTTTAATAATTTTATTAATTATTTCATTACTTTTACTAGAAAATATATATTTATAATATAATATTTCGAATATTCTTTCCTATTTTAAAATACTATATTATAAGGCTTTATTTCTGAATTATTTATTTATAATTTCTATTTTCTTATAGAAGTCGAATTATAATATCTATATTATTATTTTAGTTATTTATCTATTAGTAAGCTCCGAAATATATTAGAATAAGCAGACTATAATATTAATATAGAAGCTTTTAAGTACTTTATAAAGTACTATAAATAATACTAGAAATATAGTTAATTATTTAGATAATTCAAGTTTAATCTAAAAGATAATATTAGCTTTAACTATTTTATTATTATTAATATTTTCTATATTTTTAGTAAATTTATATTTTATATTATTAATAAAAGTACTTAATATTAAGCTAGCTAATAACTTTAGAATATTAGTATAATATATATTTGGGATATATTTAAGTAATATTAGATTAATAATTATTTAGGCCTTTTTAATTAGATTATAGCAGATACCGGAAAGCAATTTATTAATAAAGAGTTTATTTAGCTTATAAATACTATAGGAACTAAAATTAAGATTATTTCTATAGAAGCTTATAATTTTATTAGAATTATAGAATACTA